ATGCACGTCTTCATTTTCTGCTGAGTTCCATCTTTCTTGTTTTATTTCCTTCTGCAGCCAAGCATTCCGTGAATTTGGTTATCAAGGAATGCTCAAAACGTGAGCAGTGTCTCAATGGCTTCTTCAGCGCCACAGTAATAGATGGTAGATATGAACTGTCAAGAGCTAACTGTTGCCACACTGATGTCTGTAATGCAGAACCGCTTCTGTGTAAGTATCTGCACCATAATACATCCTTTCTGAGCTCCAACTAAGTTTAAATAGTGTCTGTCACCTGCTCCAAGCCATACAGATTCTGAACAGCATGCAATAATTCGATAAAAGAAACATTACTATATGTCATGTAGTTACGAGTAATATATAGTTCTCCAGTTATGATCATAACGAGCCTGCCCATTATGATCATAAGTCTGTCATGGTTCCGACAGATGAAACTCTTCAAAGAACTTCAAGGCATTGTTTACCTTAAAGGATCTTTTATTCGAGTAGCATAATATCGGCACTTACATAATCGAAGCCAAAAACTGATTTCCCTTCCCCTGGGCACATAGCATCAAAGCACAATTCCCACCCCCAATTAACAGTCATAAATTACTTTCCCCAATTAGCTTGAAGCGAGGGCTTCCTCTCCAGCTCTCCAGCAGGCCAATTCTTTATCAGCTCTGGGCTCAATAACCTTGATTCTCACACTAGGTCTAGTGTTGTTATGTCTAGCTGGACTCTCATTCACATCCCCCCTCCCAGCATCATCTAACTCTAAACGCGAAAGGAAAAAGATGGCTACATTTCCATCTGTTGTCAATGCAAAACATCCAATGTTAGCAGCATTGACAAAGTCATAATGGTCATAGAATAGAATAGAATAGAATAGAATAGAATAGAATAGAATAGAATAGAATAGAATAGAATAGAATAGAACTGGAAGGGACCTTAGAGGTCTTCTTGTCCAGCCCCCTACTCAAGCAGGAGAACCTATATCGTCACAGACAGGTGAATGTCTAGTCTCTTCTTAAATATCTCTAGTGATGGAGTGCCCATGAGTTTCT